GCCGATGACACATTGAGACAGCCCCATGGTTGTCATGGCGGCCATGAAGTCCTGAGCTGCCCCAGTCAAGGGAGCCTCGGCATGAATGTTGAGGTCCCCCAGCACCAACACCCTAGGAGTCCTCAACACCAGGTCCGAGACTACCTCCGTCAGCTCAGGCAGGGAGACTGTTGGTACGCAGCAGGGTGGGCGGTACACCAACAGAATCCCTAACCTGTCTCGCAAGCCCAACACACAATACAGGCCCTCGAGACCTCCTCTCAAAGAGATAGGAAGCCTAGTCAAGGACCTAGAACTCCTATAGACTATAGCAACGCCCCTCCCCTGACTCCCCGAGCGACATTGGTGCTGGACTGAGTACCCTAGATGGACACAGCTGGGAGAGGGAAACACCACCCTCCTCTCCCCCCCATGTCTCAGTAATGCACGTCAGGTCAGCATCCTCATCCAGAATTACATCATGGATGAGGGCAGTCTTATGATCTGGCATTCATCAGCAGCACCATGTGGCTTGAGGGTTTGCTGATAGGGTCACCTGATACCATCTGGTTGGGGGTAGGACTAGAAGAAGGGATAGATGTAAGATATCTAATCTCTCTTCTCCTATGTGGGCATGTTCGACCCACCACCACCATTCCTTCCCCTACCCAGCACCACCTCAACGGCTGCCCCCTCCAATGCCCTCCCCCCTTTCTGTTCCCTCAGAACTACTGTGGGTCTCTACCTACGTAACCTCATAGCAATCACAATAAAAACCTCTTTTAAAGCCCTTTCTCCCCTCCGAGCCAGGTGGCTGATGTTGAGGAGGGGGTGGGGCAGCCAGAGGCAGCAAGGGCCCAGTCCCGCAAGGCCGAGGGAGTCCAAGCCAAACTCCCCCAGGAAGGCTGGCAACCGGTAGCAGTACAACCACACTGTCTCTCACTCAGTGCCTGAGGGACAGCAGATGATGAAGACTCCCTGAAGACTCCCCCATTTGGGGGCTTACATGTAGACATGTGGTAATTTGGCAGGCACCCGTTTTTTAGGAGGGTCCTGGGGGGACGCGGAATCCTGTGTTCTTCTGTGGTGCCCCCTCCCAATAGCTATACTGCTCTATAGCCCTCATTTCTTTCTGTTATATAGCTTTTGTTTACTATAGTCTAAGATGTGCATCCTTTAGTTTTCTGGCTATTTGGAGGAGAAGACAGACATTGATTGTGTTATGGTACCAGTTAACCCAAACTCCTTTCACAGTTTGGAATGGGATTGGGGGTTGATCATGACTCCTGCTGAGCTAGTTTAGTGAGACAATTATTGCTAATGTCAAGTTAAAAGGATCCCCTTGGTTTATCCCCGGCTTCACCGACTGCCAGAGACGCGATTCAGATGCCCAGGGTTGTTCAGGGGGAGCTTTGCAATAATGTCAGTTGGACAGTGGCAGTAGCTGTTTAAGGGGATGCTCTTTGGAGCTGAGGCACCAATATGGCAAACTGAGCTTAGCTTTCAGAGGCTGGGCAAGAAACATCAGCGCAGTGCACTGCCCACCAAGCAAGCTGACAAGAGGAGGTGGTGTGCAGAAAGAGGAGCCAGAGAGTGTAAGGATCCCTGTGGCAGAGACATTTGCTGTGCTGCTGTGCTCAGCAGTGTGCTTATAAGTTTCTGGCAGAAGCTGCAGGATGGCTACTATGATAAGTGTGAATGAGGGAAAGAGAAGGCAGGGAAGGCAGAGATGGAAAAGCATTTTCTTTTTGTTTGCAACTTGGATTGACTGTGCTGGCTGGGATATTCAGAGAAAAGTGCCTTTTCTTTTTTCTGTGTGTCTGTCTGTCAATAATAAGTGTGTGAGTAACCTACTCATGATGGGGAGAGAGGGAGCGCAGGCTTTGAAGGACTGGGAAAAAGGCATGGAAGTATTGTAAGGGGTTAAAGTAATGTGACTATACCTTTAGAAATGATATCTGTGCTGCTGGGAGGACAAAGAAGGAAGAAACTTTGGGGAAAAATTTA